TGCATTAGGTAAAACCAGCTCTCCCAGTTTTGAAGTTCTTGTGTAGATGAACCTTATCATTTAACCATGCCCTAGCTCTTAGCTATCACATCTTTGTGATCTTCCAAGCAGACTTCTTTGTTCTTAGTGGCTCTCAGTAGTGGAGAGTGTACCAAGACCTGTCAGTGTCCCAAAGGGGATGGATCTCAGTCCCGCACTTAGATGCAGGCTGACTGGAAACTATTCTCAGGCAGCAGCTTTTAAAGTATGCAAATACACCTCTTGAGGATGACTGGGAGATGGCATTTCTGTCTGCTCTCTTTGCACTGAGGCTTGTGGGGAACTGCTTGTTTGCTACAGTCCTATGGGATCCACAAGCACTGCTGGCCACCAGAACCAGGTGTTCAAGGGATGTCCCCTGGGTGGCAGCCATAATAGCTGGGGTGCCAGATGTTTGCACAAACTCCTTCTCTGGAGGTGATGGTGATCCGGTGTGAGGCAGAGGGAGCACACAAAGATGGTGCCTGCCAGCCTCCATGGTCTCTGTAGAGTAGTAATGTAGTGAGTCCCTAGGAGTGTGTTAAAGTAGAAGACTGCTGTTCAGGCTAAAGCATTTAAGATAAGCAAATAGGCCTGTTCCATGTAAAGACTGGGCAGTTTCAGTATGTTCCCTCTGTGCTAGGCCTTGGGGGATTAGCCATGGTGAGTCCATACAATCCTGTAAGGAACTGCTTCTCAGATTGCACTAGCCTTGTGGGTCTCAGGGAGGCAAGCCCTGCTGGCTTTCAAAGCTACATGCTTTGGGGGCCCATCTCTTGGGTCCAAGTCTTAAAAGTTGGAGCACCAGCTGTGGGGTCTGAGCCTTTTGATCCTCAGGGAGAAACTGGTAGTCCTGAGTTCCCTCTTGGTCGTGTCATTGTGCCAGGTGGGGTTTATGGTGAGATAGTGTCTCAGCCTCTCCTACCCATTCCAGTGTGGGTTTTTTCTCATTCACCTGATGTGTAAGAGTTGCTCAGCTAGATTCTAGATTTCTTTCAGAGGGAACTGTTCTGTATACAGCTGTATATTCAGTTTGTCCATGGAAGGAGGTGAGTTTGGAATCATCTTGTACTGGAACCTATTGATTATTTTTAAAAAAATATTTTACCTCCTCAAGATGTTTGGAATAGCAGTAGTTTAATGAAGAATTGTCTATCACTTGTTAGACCAGAGGGCAGACTGATGAAGAACACATTTCTGGGTTTTTCTCTTTCCTACTGTGTCTGGTCATGAGGACCAATCTCAAGTACTGTTAAGTGTATGGTTTGTCTCAGGAGCCCTTGATGGACCAAGTTTCTCCACATGCTGGGACCCTTCTGTTGGACTTCTCTTTTCTACTGATCTATTTTCCTTACCCACTTTTGAATCTTAAGCAAACCCTAATTTAGAGCAGCATAGACCTTTTCGCATGATTACTAATTTTCAGGACATCAGGCTACTAAATAATTCACTCAAGTGACAAGATAATGCAATCAAGTGGTCAAGATACCACATTCCTGGATTTAATATTGATATGGGACAGTTTGGCATCAAGCTCTATCTGTTATTCTGGTTAGTTTCTGCTCACAAAATATATCCAGCTGCTAACAAGGGGATTGGGTGACAATACAGTTGACCCTTGAACAATGTGTGGGTTAGGGTTGCCAACCCCCAGCACAGTGGAAAACTCATGTGTAACTTTAGAGTTGGCCCTATGTATCTGAAATTCTGCATCCATGGATTCAACCAACCACGGATCATGTAGTACTGTAGAACCTATTCATTGAAAAAAAATCTTCATGTAAGTGGAACTGCACAGTTCAAACCTGTGGGTCATTTGTACAAGAACCTAAATGCAAATCTAGTGTTAAATATATATATATATATATATATATGTATATATATATATATATATATATATATATATATATAAAAGACTCAAGCCAGTAAATCACTAACATTTTTATATATGATCAGTAATACATTTATACTTAGCTTGGTGGCTGACCTAAATTTTCTTATTACTCTTACTAAAAACAAGATTATTCACCAGAAGAATTTGGGTACATTTATTTATTTTATTTTTGGCTGTGCAGCATGGCTTGTGGGGTCTTAGTTCCCCGACCAGGGATTGACCCTGGGCCACGGTAGTGAAAACACCCAGTCCTAACCACAGGACTACCAGGGAATTCCCATTGGGTACATTTAAAGTTTTGGTTTATATAAAGTGGTATACCACTAGAAAGGTTATTTCCTTCTCATATTCAGAATCAATTTTATCCTGCAAGTATCATTACAGAAAATTTTAAATGTATTTTGTTAATTTAAACTTTGTACAATTTCTTAAACAGTCATGATGGACTGAATATGAGACATTTGAGTTTGTTGGTAGACCAAAGAAATTAGACTATTACACAAAAATTGTTTAAATGGCTTAGAAACACTACCTCTTCATTAAAAACTTTCTTATATAAGTATCTTTCTTTGTAAAATGTGTCCCATAGGAAACAACATAGTAATGCTTTTCTAATAACTGTACACACTTCAAAGAAAATTCCTGCTTTGAATACTGTTAGAAAACAAGGACAAATTTAAAGAAAACCTTTAAAATATTAAAATAGTTATAGTTATTTTGAAATAGTTATTTTAAAATCTTAATCATATCCTTAAAATGAAAAAGATACGAAAGACATTAAATAAAATTTGGGAAACTAGAACAGGCAAGCATCATTAATGCCCCAAACGCACATTCCCAACAGTTTCACATAACCACATTAAACATCTAATTTTCAAGTCTCGCTGCCTGATAGAATGCACTCTGGTCTGCGAGAAATGGTGCTGTGTTACCCAAGGCTAGCTGCACACAAAAATGGTGCTGCTGAGAAAAATGCCATGTTTTACCTGGCACTCTAGAGGTGCTCTACTGCACTAATGTGGCCGTTAGAACCTTTAATCCTGTCAGCAGTTTTTAAATACTCAATGATACTGACATGATTGATTGCAGAAAATTCTGATGCATGTTACTTTTATGCTACATGTTACTTCTTAACATGTCTCCCAGGTAGTCCTGGCTTTTGAGCTGATTCTATAGGCACATACCTAGGTCCAGTTACAGGATACATAATATTTACTATTTCATTTACTGCCTAAGATATTTCTCAACCAGTAAGTTTGGCATTCTATTTATAGGTAATAGTACAGGTATCTATAAGCCTGTTTATGGGTCCCATGTCAGAATTGTGAATTTACAGACACTAGGGAGACAGGGACTAAGCCTTGGGTTTAGTTTACTTTTGCACACCTCTCTGTGTCCAGCATAGCGGTACTCTCATAATTGGTACGAGTTCAGTAAATATTTACCAAAATTTCTTTAGGCATTTCCATTTTGGAATTCTTGTAGAAACAAACCAATTTTGAGAATGTTCTAGGCTTTGAAAATTTAATAAATGAAAGGCACTTGCCATTACTGATCATAAGTAAAAAAGGTGGTATAAAATTAAGGTTAGAAGTGGTGACTCTTCTGTATGTGCCCACATATGTAAAGTGGAATTCAAGATAAGAAGTTAAAAGATGATACACAAGAAACAATATGGGTGAGAATATGAAGAATAGGGTTAGACTTGAAAATGAAAAAAAAATCGATTACTTTTTGGATAAATTGCAGTTATAAATTAACCTTTATGAGGAAATTTTGGGGAATGGGGTAAAAACAAAACAAAACAAACAAAAAACCAAAATTCTCCCAACATAATAAAGCATGATTCGAATAGGTTTTTGGGAAAACTTAAGTTTTGAAAAAAATCTGTTGACCTCTTTTGATCAATTGGGATTTTTACCATTCCATACATTCTGAATTATAACTAAATAACTACATGTTACAATGTTTTGTTAATGTGCAAGGAAAAAAATTTTGGATTCTTTGAGCCTGAACAATTAAGAAACTAAAAGATCCCATCCTTAAATTTTTATACTTGATTTTCTTACAAAATTAACTTCAGTTGTTAGGCCAATATTTATCTGAAAATGGCAGCCTCCAACAGTAAATAATTGGAATAAACACAGCATCATTATGAGCTTTAGGAAAACAAATCTACAAAGTTATTTTTTCCTTCTTGAATAATAAAGATTGGACAAGAGTGAACAACCAAAACCATGAAGGAAAAAAGACAAATGTAAATAAAGGATATGCATCAAAACAAAGTCCAGAAGTCAAAAACAGATATTAGAAAGATGCTTCAGAAATCAATAACCATCACAGGGAAAACATTATGAAAGCAATTCAGAAAATAAATGAACACATACCTTTAAAATATAGAAATATTTGGGATACTCTACAATGCCCAGTTAATTGCTATAAATACTTTTTCCCCTCAGGTATATGTGGATACTCTAGAAATCAATAGGATTTGTTTACTTTCTGTTATAAAAATTTTTTCTCGTATGTGAAAAATTAAAACCAATTCTTCAACCTTTAGAAAAGAAAATGAATCTCTTCACTATAATACAGCATGAAAATAGGGTATCTGTTTATTTTCCCACATTTTGAGTATGTTTTTTAAATGAAATACATGGTCAGATAATCAATTTCAGAGATTTTTTTTTAGGAGAACAGGTGACTGAAAACCAAGTTCTCTTTTCAGGCCAGCCACAAAACTGGAATTGATAAAGTACACTTTGTATAACTTAGCATGTACGTAGATCATAGAGCAGGCTCATGTTTGAGCCAGCCAGCCTAAACATCTTTCTGTGGGTCAGGTCAGCAATCTGTGGCCCATGGGCTGAATGTGGCTTGTGGCCTATTTGTGTACAGCCTTGAGGCTAAGCATGGTTTTTACATTTTTTAAAGGGTTGTAAACAAAATAAAAACAGAGAATACGTGACAAAGAACCACCTATGGTCTACAAAGCCTAAAGTATTTACGATCTGGCCCTTTACAGAAAAAGTCTGCAGACCCTTTATTTATATTAATGTTGTACAGAATTCAAGCAGTGCAATTACAAGTCCCAAGATAATGTTCATTTATTCCCATCCAGAACATAGTAACATTCTGAAAAGGTGGCTTCTGATGTCATCTGTCAATTTCTTTTCAATTTTTCTTCATTTTCAACATCATTAAAGTTCATCCTACAATAATAATGTAAGTGATTGAATTCCTTTCTTTCAACATCTAATGTTAAAAAGAAGTTAAAAATAATAAACTGACCTAAGTTTTACCTTTTCAAAAATAATTACTCAATATCCTTATTTAATAGATCAGATGAAGTATACCTCACCTATTGTAACAATGGAAAAAGGGTATCTCACAATTCTCACCTGCCCATGGCAGATAATACCAATTATAAGTTACCACACTTTCAAAGTCATATTTTGCTGTGCTCTATAACTTAATTTCAGTTAGCATATTCTACTTTATGACTAATGTTTTCGATTTCAAATGTTTCACTTGAGATAAGTCACAATTTTAAAAATATAACATCTTGAGAAAACGAACATAGCCAAAATATCAGAAAAACACTTTTGTTCACTGAAACAAAAAAAATAAAGTTTCATAACTATCTCTTTTCTATCTTTTAGATTTGGATAAAACACAATTCTTGAGGAAGGTTGTAAAGCTTCCTATACCAGGGTCTGTAGTTCTAATATGGATCTATAAAGCATAAAGCTATGATACTGATTTAAAAAAGGAAAACATGAATAGCCCTCTGAAGAATAGCAGGAAAGAGGCTGCAATGCTTCTTGACAGATTAATAATTCAAGGGTGGGGGGCAAGATGAATACAGGTTTTAATACATCCCGACTATACCAAGAACAAAAGAAAACTTGCTCTCCAAAGTGTTATGAGGCTCAAATCAATGCTTTTACATTTGAATATTTTTAATAACTTATGACTATAGTCACTATTTTTCTGTTAAATGGTTTTACTTGCCCCAATTTCTAAGCATTTAAGTATCCAGAGGCTAAATTTGTCATATTTTCCAAAGAAGAAATTTCTAACTACCTTACTAATTTTTGAAGCTTCATTTTACTGTTTATTGATACATATACTATATAGTAAGAATAAATTCAAATACTGTTTGCCAAAGTCAGCTCTAGATTTAGTCCTTACCTTATTTCTCTTTCCATGATTTTGGAGGTTTTCCAATTTTTCATATATTAAGGTAGTAATCTCTTTTGCATCTCTGGAATCTATTTCCTCTCCCCAGGTATTTCTCTAAAATTGAAAACATTCTTCTTATAACCTTTTAAGTATCTAATCAAAACATGACAATTCCATCTAAGAAACTTGATTAAATATTCCTTAAAGTTCCAAGTGTTTAAAACTTCAGTTTCTTCAAGGAAATGCTGCTGCAAAAGCAGTTAACCAATAATTTACCTGAAATAAATACTAATAATACTTGTATGGAAACATGTAAATTAATACCTTGATTAAAATGCATTGCTAACTCCAAATGCCTCAAAACGTCTAAATTGTTTAAGATGTCCCCAGAGGACTCAAAACATTCTAAAGTCATTGGCATAGACAAAACCTTGACCAACTACAATAGTGCAAAGCAATGTATATTTCCTGGTTCTCATCTGCCCACAGCAGGAAGGTGGCTAAAAAGCAGGGGAGAAGACAGGTCAATACATCCAGGCCCGCTTATTTTGGATCTGGAGCCACCTGTTTCCTTTTTCCTGGTGGGAACTCCAAACTGTCTGCTAGGATTTTGTTTCTGTGTATAGCTGCTCACCTGGTTTGAATTTCTCACTTCAATCACCATTCTGCTTTGGCCTTCTCTGCTGGACTTCTGGATTCTACCCCTGCCTTTCTGTTTGGACAGGGATATTTGGGGTCCTAATCTTATCCTCTGGACACATGGTAACATCATGTTTTCAAACAGCTCCCTGTATGGCCTGGTTAATTCTGTGACTGCTTATTATACTGATACTTCCCTAACATCATTCTACCTGAATAAGATGCCTATATATGTCACCTGAATTCTCAGGTGTTCTGAGAATTGAGAAGCTAGTGATTCCAAAGGAATTACCAGGCTCTGGTATAAAGCTCCTTTACTATCAGTGAGTTCTGCTTACCCCAGACTGTTCTTAATACAGAGATAGCTTCCTCATAAACCAAAATCCTCCACTGAAAAATCTAGACGTCTGACAAATCTACATTTCTGAAATTCATCATCTAATTTCTTTAGCTCTATTTCAAAATGTATGATAATCACAAGTAAATAACACAAGATCTTAATCTGATATTCTTAAAAAGTATCTATTAAAACATTTGAAATTATTCATTTCAATGTTTTACAAGAAAACATGAATGCATTGGCAGATATTTATTTTTATCACAGTTCTATTGTCAAAAATGTCTTATTTTACTTGGGAAGACAGCAAAGGTCATAAGTCCTTTCAGTTAGCAATTATACTGGCTGAAAGATATACACTTTTGTATCAGTGACCATAGAGACCCACTGGTAAATGCCAAATTTTCTTGTTTAAAAAAAAAAAAAAAAAAGCATATTGTCAGTGGCCCAAAAAAGAAATTATGAATGAGCCATGGAACCCTAACTTTTATTTTATAGTCTAAACCATTAATAAGTATTCCTCAAGATAAATGCTCAGGTACTAAGGCTATTTCAAAAGTATGATGACAGTATTCTCTTAATTTTCTCTTTCTTTCCTAGAAAAACTAATTATAAAGATAATATATGTTAATTCTATAAAAGTAGGAAATACGAAACTTCACAGAAAATAATTACCTTGAATTATACCACCCACAAAAACTACTATTAGTATTTTGGTGTGTCTATTTAGTAGTTCCCTATTCAGGAGTATAAAAATTTTAAGGCAATGGAGATCATATCAACTGTGAGGCAGAAAAATCTTTTAAAATCACTTGGTGTGTATGTGAAAAGAAGCTTGTTTCAGTGACATGCAGTGAAATTAAAAATGACAAAGGGAAAGAAACTAGAAAAAAGCGTTACCTGCTAAAGGAAAGGCACACAGAAGGAGGCATGTACATACCTTTGCCCTTTCATATGGATAAAATTTAACAGTTGGATAGGCTCTGATACCAGCTTTCTGGCAGGTTTGAGCATAAGCTTGACAGTCTACTTTTCCAGCTTTCACTTTTCCTTTAATCATCTAAAAAGAGAAAAATATGCTTTGCTATTCTCTTTGGCATATAATATTCTGGCAACCACAAAGCAATATGATACTAAAAATTTTAAATATATATAAATCTAAGGATTTGTTACTTAAAAAAAGAGTAGTTTTAATCATTTCCATTCAAACAAGATTGCTTCCAAATTCTTACTAGCTCTGAACTCTTATTTACCTAGCACAGCCCCGCCAATAGCAAGTAAACTCTCCTTTACCTTATCAAGAAAATTGAGAAGCTTTATCCTGAACTACTTCTTCGCCTTCCTCCTGTTACCCACAATGTGTTTGTCACACCAGAAACATCTCAGATTCTGTCCTCCACCTCCCTCAGATCTCTGGTCTCATAGGCTGAGGCAGCACTCTTCCTCCTGTGGAAGGCTGACTATGTCTACATTCTCCGGTCCCTCTCTCTCGGAGCTCTTTCTCACTCTTCAATATATACACATATGACCAAAAAGGATTCCTTCCTTAATTGCACTGGTTCCTCTAGTTACCACCCTGCTTCTTTCTTTCTCTTTTTGAGCAGTTTATTCTTTGACCACTTCCTCATCATCTACTTATTATCAACACATTTTAGCTAGCTTCTGTTCTTACTGCTCCCTTCACTGAAACCATGAGAAGTTCACCAATGACTTCTATTTGGCCAAACTGAATGGACAATTTTCAGTCTTCTTAATGGGTATCTGTCACTACTGACCACACCTTTCTTTCCTCTTTTCTTTCTTGGCTCATCACTATTCTCTTGGCTACTCTACTCCTCTGGCTATTCTTTCTCATTTCTAGCACGGGGACCTCCTCCTACACCCGCCCCTCAAATTAAAATGTCCAATCACAGATCCATCTCTCATCAATTTTTTTCACTGTGAAAAATCTCCCAGGGAGATTTTATATACCTATATGCTGCTGAA